CCATTTAGTCTAAACAAAGTAAGTAGAACCACACCATTAGTACACAAGAGACTTGAGCAGAGAAAGTCATAGACTTGGTATTATGGATAGAAGCACGATAGATGCGGCTGCGATAAGAGCTAGTTGGCTAATAGTATAGGTATTTGATTATAGACGTGGTCCTTGAAGCAAAGGCTTGGCCATGAAAATTACTCGAGGTCTTTAGCCTCAAGTTAGTTTCACATAGTCATAGTGTGGGAAATAACTCCTCGAGTAACACAGATAGGGTGACAGGGGTCGAATTAAATATTCTAAACAGGGAGATAGCAGACAGATACTACGGTGCAAGAGGGAGACTAATAAGGTCTATGGGAGCAGGACTACAGAAAAATGTGGCAGACTCTGATCGCCATTCCTAACACAAGGGTGAAGGGGGATGAGGGGGCGAGAAAGCCAGCTTGGGGGTGGAGGATTTTCATTAAATTCGTTACAAATGGCACACCATACCACATTTAAATAATCCAAGAAAAAGAAAAAAATTGTGATAGTGAAGAGATGATACGAGGATATAAGATTGGTTATTAACCCAGGGCGGAAGGAGAGATACCACGAATCTTATGATAGGCTTCACTTGTCTATTTGACGAGTTGTAGTGTGGTACTATGAATGGCAATGCTCACTGATGATGCCGACTACAATGCCGGCGAAGCGTCTGGGAATGTAACACATCTACTGTCCGACTCTGGAAATTATCATGAACTCCTCTATGCCTTCCTACCAATATGTTCAAGTTGTGAAAACAAGGCCAAACAACTTCTTAACTTAATCAAACCTATTTTAAGTAAATCTCATAATTTAGTTGTTATTATCACTAAATTTATGGTTAGTTAAAGCATTTATTATTTATACCTGATTTTAAAATTGTTTCTATTTGCAATTCTTTTAAGCCATCTATTCTAGCTCTTAATATTCATAATTTGTTCACGTCATGATTTGGAAATATATCACTTGAGATTGATTCTAATTGGAAAACAGTTTAATAATACATCAAAATTTCTAAAAAATACTGTATGTTTTATAATTATTTATTGGTTAGCTCAAAGTTTAGCCTCGATGGATACATATTTCATTACAAATTATGGCCCAGGTTTGAGCTTTTTAACTAATATATCCTCACTTTCTGACACCAAAGTTGATAGCATCATTCTGTTTTTAAGGGAAATCGGCAGAATATTATTCTAATAATTCCATCTCATTCTTGTTTTTACTATTTTTTAGCGCAATCTCGACTGGGATAGTGTTACCACTCTTGTTCGGGCTATCTACTTGACGGTACAGAAAAATCGTTCTATCGCACACTTGAAAGAAGTTCGCGTACGTTTTTTTAATTATTTGCTTATTACCCACAAATGTAGTTCTGTCCATGCATCAAAAGCATCGATACTCTTATAGTACTATTTTTTATATTACTCAGTATTTCGTTATTTTTATTTATTTTTGATTATTCGGGCATCCATTCCAACAGCTCGTCTTTAATTCACCTTTAACAGTTTCATTTTTATAGATTTTAAAATTGCATACATTTTACTAGTATGCTGTCAAAATACCTTAGTCAAATTTTCTGACAAATTTGCTACGTTTTTTAAATTATTTCCTATTATATAGTTTGGCACAAATAGCAGTCTTACAAAACTCTTCAAGAGATTGGGTAATATTAAAAGATTAAGAACGCATAAAATATGTTCAGTAACAAGCGTTTCACTTTATAATTTATAATTTGTTGTTCTTATTGTTTTACTTTATTTTATTCAGAATTTCGTAGATTATCTCAAAAGGTCGCTGCTTTTGGATCCGACTGCACCATATCTAGTAGATAGTCTCTATGGTGGGGGCACACCTATAGCATCAGGTGGTCAGGCCGGGGCACTTGGTGGTAGTGCCAGCTTCAATAGTGGCTCAGTCGGTATAAGCGGTATTTCACCTGGGATGATAAATGCTTCTATTGGTGGAGCCGGTGCTGGAGTGGCTGGTCTAGGCTTTTCGGGAGCTGTAATCAATAATGGAGGTGGGGTTGGTGGCCCGGAACGTAGTAGTGGTGGTATTGGTCATTTACATCTCTCGTCAATCGCAGGTGTTGCAGAGCGGGGATATCATGGTCATTCATCGCATCATACTGTTTGTCCAGCATCTGGTCCTTATGGATACCGACACCTCGGTAAGTATATAGTCATGAGTAGTAGTGGACAGCATGCTTGTTTAGACGAATGAGTATGGTTTCATCTCGAATTTAATCTGAGTGGACGTTGAGTATTTGTGTGGATAACTCAAGACACGAGTTAGAGAAGTGGGTCAATAAGTGTGTTAATAAATTTATTTTTTAGTATATAAACAGAGTTTCAAGACTACATCTCATATAATTAATAAATGTAGTTTGCTACTCGAAATATTATCGGACAAAAAACTCTTTCGAACCAATAGATGAGACGATGCTTGTATGGTGCTCAGGTAGATCTTTTGTGGAAAAAGCTCGTTTGCCACATTGTGATTAGATTATCTGTTTTAGAATGTTATGCTATGTTAGGTAGATTATTAAGGGAAGAACACATGACGGTATAAGTAAATTATTAATTGAAATAAAACATAAATCGCAACTTTTCATAATTATTTGATGCTATACGAAGTTAGATTAAGTGGTAATGCTAATCTAGGCTTATGTAAATATACCCAGAAAGCAGCTAGATTCCGAAACATTGATAAAAGTAGCAATGAAGAAGTCCCTGTTCAGATCCTATTAGATCTCCAAAAAATTGTATATTTCACGTAGGTTTGCACTAAAATTATTTGGATCTCTCCTTATCAAGTATCTATC